GGCGATGACATTATATAAGAACTTGTGGTTGATTCGTATGATGTGGGCATTGGCGATGACATTATATAAGAACTTGTTGGCGTTATAATTTGATGAGATGAGTTCGATACAGTTGATTCAGTTGATTGAAGTGATGTACCATCTAACGCAAAGATGTTCGAGAAGAAATAGAATAAGGCAACTAATACGAATTTGAAAAAAGATTTTGAAAAATGCATTCTTTTTGAAATATCGATGAAAGTATATATATCATATATACTGTATGCGCATTCTGGAGAATAGCAGTCACTTCATTTTTATACTTTTCATCAGTAATACAGTATAACCTCGATATAACGAACCTCGATATAGCGAACACTAATTGTATAACGAAGGTCATTCCAAATTTTTATATTTAAATTAGCCTCGATATAACGAATCTATAAGAAATTTAGATATAACGAAGAAAAACCTCCAGCTCCGGAGCTTCGTTATATCGAGGTTATACTGTATCTAGAAATTCTTTAAACAAATGAATCATTTTTATTGCTCATAGTTAATTCGTTCGAATCTATTAATTTTATCAAAAGGATTCTTTGTTGCTTGAAAAAAATTTTTTTATTAAACTTTTTTCATATCATGCTTATTATAATATATATTTTTCCTGTTAAGTACAGAATATCTTGATGAAATCACATCCGAATTAAAGTAATCAGATTCAGATCAAATATGATTTGATTTGATATCGTCAAGTGTAATGTCAATATCTTTCAATTAAGAGATATTAAATATGTCGATTTATATTATTGAAAGAAAAGACAAACGTCTCATTTTGAACATTATTATATATCATCAAACGAACCAAGACCGTCAGCAATTCTTTCTGTACTTAATATCAAAACTATTTGACACACATAAAGCGGAATCATACGCAATTCTAACACTGTATTATGGCTATTTCTTGAACGAGTATCATAATTTAGAAACCATTTTTTTTCAATTTATACAAATTGTTAAGACCTAGATCTGGAAATTATAGTTTATTATTTGGTGAACTTAGCTCTTGAAAAATCATCAGTGATTCATCAGTGAGGACTGTCTTCTAGTCGTTTTGGTATCATGTATCTTTATTATACAATTAGACGTCATATTAATATTTACTTCTTCTTGTACTAGAAGGCAGTTATCACTGATGAATCACGGATGATTTTTCAGGGGCTAAGTTCGCCGTATAATTTCAGATTGATGCTTTCCCTTGGCGGTACTCATATAATGTTTGAATAATAAAGGTTTCCAAATTTAAATCCTGGACACGTTGTATTAGGGCTAATTTTTTTTAGTGATCTAAAATAGTAGAACCGATTACTTATAACTCTGGTCAAATTTGCCGATCTTTTGGCCAAGTTCAACTGGAGTAAAATCATCACCCTAAAAAATTTCACGGCCAATCAAATTTCAAGATCAGGTGTATCAAAAATCGCTTATGAAACCTTCGAATTCTATCTTCGAGGCAAAGCCCTGGCCATAACCTAACAACACCTTCACTATTGAACGATAACAAGGATGTTATGGACGGAACAACAACGTAAATTTACTTCGAAATTTTTTTGGATGGCGATTCTACTATAGTAGGAATTCCCAAATAAGGGGTCCCTTAAAGCGGGGCAGATTACGTAATAATCAGCAGCAAAACAAGTGAAAAAAAGAGAAAAAAGAGAAAAACATCAAAAACGGTAGTATAAACCCATCTGAGTGCATTAACAAAAAAATGTCGGGAAGGTAATTTTGCTTACATAAACATCTCTAACCCTAACCTAACCCTAATGTTAATGAAAAACGTAGGGTTGCATCGGTCCCACAAAGGACCGGTCTTGAACCGGTCCCTGGTGTGACCATAAATCACTATTTAATCGGTCCAATTAGGGACCGAGACGGACTGGACTGGACCGATGCATCCCTAGAAAAACGGCATACCACATGATCTGCTCGCTTTAAGGACCCAAATAAGGGGGTCGGTTAAAGCGGAGCGAATTCAATATATGATCTACATACTGCATATGTTGTATTCTTGATATCTA